GAAATTCCATAGGTGGTTATCTATATAATAATTTCCCTAATTGTATTAATATTTTAAACTGTTTGATTTTTTGTATGTTTTTTAATTGGTTGATGATTGATTCTATCAACTAATTTGTCGATTGTTTGATTGTATTAACTTGATTCTTTAGATATCAAAAATTAAATAAAGAACATTATGTTAATTTAAGTGTACAGAAACGTTGCTGTTGTTCCAACAAAGATCTTATTTTTACTTTACCGAGTGCCTAGTAGATATACACACACAAATATAAACATCCATGAAATTGATTCTTAGATTAATGCTAAATGATTGCCAGATTACATTGGATTATTTGGATTATATTAATGTTATTAATTACTAATTAAATGTCAAGCAATTTAGCCTGAGAATTATTGGCCATGGGCTCTATAGTCATCCCCAGTTGGTACCATGAGTAACAAATATGGTTATGTCTAAATTAATAGTTCTGGAAGCAAGATCAGACAGAGGTTTGAGTAGAATAACTGACCATGCATACACACGCCAAGTGGGAGTTGCTGGTTTGAGTCCTGCTTCAAGCTGATTCTTTTCTTCTAGAACTTTCTAAATTAATTATTAAAATATTAATTTAATTATAATAATTAAATTTATCAAGAGATGGTGCCTACCTCCCACCTGTAGGCCAAATTACTTGTCATGTAATTATTAATTAGTAGCATTGATACAGTCTGGTGTAATTTGGCAATTGTTTGGCATTAATCTAAGAATTAGGTTTATGGATGTTTATATTTGTAATAATATAAGAAGAATTATATAGAAAACTAAACCAAAGTTATAGTAATAATCAAATGAATAATCAAATTAAGTTTTGAACTAGAATTTGGCTAATTTTACTGACATTACATAATTTAGACTAAAGATAACTAGTAAACTTAATAAACTATAAAAAGTTCTCACATACATGACAAAATAATTCCATACTGATGAAGTAACATCTCAAACTTCTTGTAGGCTACTGCTGGAGACCAGAATTTTATTCTCTCTGTAGTTCAAATTAAATCAAAACCATAAAATTTAAATAATCATACACAGCAAACATTATTAAAATAAATAACATACAGCACTGTCTTTTTATGTAACATCAACAGGCAGTACTGTATATTATTTATTTATCTAAAATCAAAACCTTAATATCACATAGTAATATTGAGTATATATTATTTTTATTTTTTATTAATGTAAATGATAAAATTAAAAATTGTTTAAATACTATAAATATTTTAAATTGAATACATTTTAAATGTATAAATCTTTATAGATAACAGAGAAAAATTCACAAATATATTTTACAATATATAGAAGTTAAGATGATTTGACTACAGAATGTATAATATGTGCTTTTTAATATTTATTTTTGTAATTATGTTGCCAAAAATTTTAATATGTTTGATTTTAGTTAACAGACAAGATGTACTGGCTTCCAAATATCCTCTTATAGCCATGTGTGATGGAACAAGGTAATGTTAAACTTGATAAAAATACTTTACAGACAGATAAATTCAAAATTTATCAATAATAATTACAGTAGAATTTTATTTTATATAATTGTATGTTATATAAATTATATGTTATGAAAAATATTATGTTATATAATTTTTCTTGTGTCGTTTGATTAAAACAGATGTTTTAATAATAGTAAAACTAGTATACTTTGTTGAAAATTTGAAAAAATATATCTTGTTAGAAAATCTTATCTTTTTTGATAGTTTTATCTTATTTGCCAATTGATTAGATAGTGCATATTTATGAATTAAAAAACAATAATTTGGCAGCCTCCCAAATTTATTTTGCCTATTATAAAATTATAGGATATCTGTTTAATTTTTATTATATATGAGGATTGAAATTATAGCATTTTTCTTGTTCAGTCAGTAATTGAAATACAATATTTTGTAATGTGGCTCTCAATAATTGTAAATGGTAAAGTTGTTAACCAACAAAGTTAGAGTTAAAAGTAATAGTTGAACATTCATATGTCAAAATTGTTAATGGAATGTAAATAATGCACAATTTATTTATTTTATATTCCTACAAAAGTTAATGTTCAAAAGAACAAGCAATCATTGAAATGAAACAGTAAGCATTTTCAAAGTGCATTAATAATTGTGGATGAAGGTAACATTATACATAGTCATAGAGTAAGATCCAATTCTTTAAAACACATTATTGTATTTGTTATTTGAAATGATTCTTTGAATTACCTTGATTTATTTAAAATGTTAATAAGTTTGATATAAATATTTTAAAATATTATTTTGTCAATCTAATAAGCTAAAATCATTTTTTTTCTTCTTAATTATTCCTGTTCTGTGAATAGTAAAAGTAGGGGCACGCTAATTGTTTTCTGAGCAGCAAAATGCACTTTATGACAGAAAAAGCAAATTATTTACAACTCAAAGAAGTTCAAAACTGCCCAACTTCTCTGTTTCTGTGTGCAATACAAGTCAGAGTTTGTGAATGTCATCAAAACATTACCAGTAATATCATATTCAAATAATATGGTGGAAAAGAAGACATTTCTAAATGGCATCATTTATTTTGTTTGGTCATGTAATGTATCATTGTTCAGGAAAAGGAAAGAGAAAGGTGACTGAAATGTGTTTATATGCTATAAATGTTTCTGAGCATAAATGTCTAGTTAAAGTCGAGTCACTAAGTTAAGGAGCTAATAAGTCAACTCTTTAACTTATTAGTGCTTGAACATGTTAAATCTATTATGGAGTTGATAGGAGATGAAACTAAAACATCCAGTGCAGGGGTCGGCAACCTTTTGAGTCGGAAGAGCCAAAATTACAATTTACAAAATTTCAAAGTTTTTAAAGAGCCACAAAATTTTTTCTTGCCAACAATAAATAGTACTCACATAAATAAAGTTTTTTGATAAAAAAACTAATCTATTTATTCATAAGAAAAAATATCTATTTATTCATATATAAGTAGTGTTTTTCACAACAAATTAGATAATAGAAACATCCGACGACGGCGTCATTCGAGAGCTTCCGACGGACTGACGACAGTGACGACGCGTGTCACGGGGGAGGGGTGTGGTGAAAAGCGAGTACAAGTGGCTGAGAGATAGAATCGGTGCCAAATCCTCGTTAATCAATTCAGAATGATTTTTAAATTTTTTTTTTTTTTTTTGATAAAATAAATAATATTTGCGTATGGAACTAAAGAGCCGCAGCTTCACATCCAAAGAGCCGCATGTGGCTCACGAGCTGCAGGTTGCCGACCCCTGATCTAGTGTATTTCTAACTTAAGAGAGTATATTTTTTTAAATTAGGAGAATGTTTACTGATATTGGGCTGCAATTTTAAAAAATTATAGACTTATAAATTTCCACTGTTGTCCATCTGTTTGTCTGTCCTTTCTTAATCTTGAGAACAAAGTTAGATAGATGAAAGTCAAGACTAGATGTGGAAAGCTTAGGGACAAGAGGCCTCAATTAACTATATACAAACTTCTGGTTTGTACTGGAAGCCATGTTATTTCAATTAAAAATTTACCCCTGGAATGCATTAGATAGATGATTGGCACAACTCTATTGCTAGCAGGAAAGTATGATGAAAAGGGACAAGACACTACTAATTTGAAGTGGAGAGCATATATTTTAAATTAAATAAATTAAAATGAGATTAAAAATTGCAGCCTAACATTGTGATGATATCACAATAAATAATTGCTCGTTTATTGTAATTGGCAATTTTAAATCTGGACTAATATATTCAGAAAATTTTCCTGTTTTATTTTCATTAAAGTACAGTAGAACCTCGAAAACTCGGCTCTCGATAACCCGGCACTCCGGATAACTCGGCCACACCCTGGCAGGGCAAAAAAAATCCTTAGTTAATTAATTTTCATTATAGACAGCTTTATAAAAGTATAAAAGCTCTCATAAAGTATTTTTCTGAGGTCTGTCTTATCAGGTAAATTACTGTACACAGTGTATTCATTAATTTTCATTTTCATGTAGTAAAGGCTGTATGCCTTCATAAAGGACGTACTTTTCTTTTGTTTAAGGGTATTTGGGCAGTTTATTCTCTGTTATATTCTCAAGTAAACAATACGTACAAGTACAGTATAGTATTTTCTGAGGAAACACTCATACTTATTTTTTTAACCCCATTCCCGATAACTCGGCATTTTCACAAACTCGGCCATCCTTCGGTCCACATTAGGCCGAGTTTTCGAGGTTCTACTGTACTTTGATTTTTATAAATGTTTAGTTTTAATAAAAGCAGAAAATTTGCTTAGTTTACTATTGTCATTTTAATATATAGTGAAATCCTATTTCAATGTTTTTTGGTTTAATGTTTACCCTGATTGTACTGTACATCCATTTTTAGTAGTCCCAAATATCTGTAAAAACAATTAAATTTAGGCTAAATATAAAACATTTATATGTATCACTTTTAAGCTTTTTTTTCATATTATAATAATTTAATCAATATATAAGAATAATATTTTTTGTCTCATTTATGCATATACAGCTAATATATACAATAGTTTTAAGAATAAATATGTGTGCTATTATAGTTCCATTTAATATGAATGGTCTCTCTCACAAGGAAGTTAAATAATAAAAGGTAACAGTAAAAATTATTTTGTAATAAATGTTATTGTTTTAAACTTTCTTTAAAAAGTTTTTGAGTTTTTGTTTTATAGTGGTTCCTCCTTTTCCTGCAATATTCCAAAGTCACCTTGGCATCAGCCCCACTTCTTTGGCACAGTTGTGGTTAAAACAACTACAGTATTTACCCACTTGGTGCATTTGCAACAAACCTTTTATGAATTATAAGAAAAGTAGTGCATTCACTTACAGGTGTTCCTTGAATAATGCAGAACTGTGATTAATTAGGACTTGGATAATCAGAGTTCTACTGTATATACTAAGTTAACTCTATCTTTCCTTTCTTTGTTAATGAGTAGATATTTTATAAAATAAATATACTACAGACTGATTTTGTTGTGATATTTTATTGAACATCCTCCTTTAAGTGATGATTTTGGCTATTTTAAAATTTGTCTTACTTATTCTTATTTTTTTTCCAGAAAGTTCTGCTTTTCCTACTTTTTAAGATTTGAATTACAGTGAGAGCACTGAATTATGTACAGGAAGTAATTTGTTTTTTTATCTTATCCATCTTTAGGGTAAACCTGGAAGCATAGGATTTTTAGCCTTTTGGCAAATTTGGACAAGAAAATTCTATCCAAATTAATAAAGTGATTTGTACTATGTGCAACTGTTTCTTGCATAAATTGCTGATGAACTGATTTAATTTTTACAAAGAATTGTATTACAGGGCTTGCCTGTAAACTGGTTACACCTGAAATATTTTTAAGAAATTTCAATGACATTAGAAACAAAGCACTCAGTAGAGAGAATATGGCACCTAATGTCATTTCATTTAATGTTGTTTCATTATAAGATCATTGAGGAAATATACAGATACATTTGTAAGCATTTACAATTATTATTACAGTAATACCCCGAACTTAAGCGATAGGTGGGACCAAGCGATAACCGCGTAAGTTGAATTCGCATAAGTCGGGGTATAATTTCTCAATTTGTGTAAACTCCAAGTCGGATGTATGTAAGCTAATAAATGTTCCCGTTAATCTTATCTCGTCTTTTGATTTGTTCACGGTTACAAGAATTCACCACATAGAGTCTCTCAAGTCTCCGTAGATATAACAAACACAGAAATAAATAACACAAAATAAATTGTAGCTATGCGTCGATTCCGCTTGACACATCTGAACATGTAAGCTGAACAATAGTGTGGGGGGAGTGAGAAATCGAGAGCTGTGTGGCGCTCAAACAAAAGACGAATCGACGAGATTTGAAAATCGCGTAACTCCGGATTCGTGTAAGTTGGGGTAGCGTAAGTTGAGATATTACTGTATTGAATTTTCTTTATAAATAGTAAAATTGATTCTGTGTGTGGAAAATAAATACTGAAGGTTACATACATGATCCAATTAGAATAATATTAATTGAATTATATATTGTTTATATCAATTAGCCTTTGGTAAAATTAGTTTTATTATACATCAAGTAGCCTTTGGTAAAATTAGTTTTATTATACATCATTTTGCTTAATGTCACAGTTTTTGAGAACTTATTGATGATGATAATTGAGGATTTGCTGTAATAGTGATTTCTGTTTAAAAAATAAAAATGTTAAAAAAATTATTGAGATGGGAAAAACAAATGTAAGGGAATTCCTGTAGTGTGACTCACAGTATAATGTAGAATCAACATCTGCTAATTCATTGTCAGATTATCACTGTACTGAAAATATAAATATGTTACTTTTACATGCAAAATGAATGTTAAAAACTAAATTATGTAAATTTATATTAAAATCTGATAATTACAGTGCAATTTACAATCACAATGGACAACAAGTGATGTTGAACATAAGGCAGGGGTGGCAAACCTATGGCATGCATGCCCAAAGTGGCATGTAAGGAGAAATCATCTGGTATGTAATGTATCATACTATTTTGATTTATCACCTATGTTTTTCCATCATCCTTTTGGTTTATCATCTGATCTTCTTTTTTTCAATCAGCTTCTTTACATTTATTCTAATATTTGTTTAATTTCTTTAAATATCATTATTGAAAGTCTAAAACTTTGGCATGCTTTAAAGCTAAGTATGTTTACTATATGGCATGTGGGCTCAAAAAGGTTTGCCATCCCTGACATAGAGTGTTAACTGTGAGATATTATTTTGTTGCCAAATTGGGTCTAAAGCAAAATAAGAGTGCCAGAAAGTTAGATACTAGAGTGCAAAGTTCTTAAATATATAATTGCCCTTGGCAAAACAATCTGAGAAACTTCTTGCCAAATTTAAAATATTATTGATTAGTGGCAAAATTATCCCTAACATTCATTATTTTTAAAACAAAAACATTCACTGTATGAACTTTGATTTTATAAGGAAAGTAACTGCATTTGATGGATTTGTTTTAATTTTGTATTAGTATTACCAAAAACTATCCTTTGAAAACTATTGAGAGTGAGAGAGAGAGAAAGTCTATTTGTTTTTATCACAAATGTTTTCAGAGATTTTTTCTACCATCTTCAGATGAACTTCTAGTTTTTAAGCTTTTTTCTTTATTTTATAAATGAATTAAGAGGTTTGGCTTCAATATGGCTTCAATACTATAAAATTAAATTGTATCCATTATATTTAGCATAAAATTGTAATAATAAAATTAATATTTATTTGATCAGCAATGTCTGAAATGCATACATATTCTGATAATTAGAAAATCAAATTCCATCTTTTACTTTACTAAAAATTTTATAATTAGTGCTTTCTTTAGGTGAATTTTAATTAATTGATTTATGGATATTTCAGGAAAAATTGTGTCAATTGAAATTTTAACTAAATTATTTATATGTTGTATTTTACAGCATATAAGACTCATCTCCATTTTGACACAGAATATTTACTGTATTTTTGCGGAAAAACTAGCATGCCGCATAAAGACGAGGAGACCATCATGCTGGTTAAACTGTGACTAAAATATAAAATTAATCAGATCTAACAAAACTAGTTGTTAATTAAACGTTAAAGAAAATATTTTTCTGAGTACAAAAAAATAATATTATTATAATTTGACTGACTTAAAACCAGGAAGAGTTTTCATTTACAAGAATATAAAACAACTAACAACTTATTGACTAGTAGTAGGTCAGTCAGTCAGTCAGTATGAGCTACACTGACCATCTACCCCAACCTTTAAAAATAACACCTTTCTCTCAAATTTCACACAAAGCCAATGTTCATTGGTGCAAGTGGAGATAATTTGCAGCAAATTTCTTAAAAAGAAATTTCTTAAATATAATATGTTTATTTTTGTGTTTTTGAATTACATAACAATAAAATACACATTAAAAAAAGCACTTTTGGAATTCCATGAATATTTTACATCTTTAGAAAGAAGACAAAATGAAGAAATTAAACATATAATTGTAGTTTTTGATGTAATGCTAACTGTTTCACAGTTTTAGAATAAAAACTTGTCCATTTTTTTAATGCACTCTCTAGAGAGGAATGTATAGCCTCACTTAAACCAGCATGCCAGCTTTTACCATATAGAAATATTTGATTTCATGGTTTCCTCCAGATAGATCGGCATGCCAGTCATTCTGTGAAAATATGGTAGAAAAAAAGTATTTAGTGTATTGATGCCATCCCTCATAATAAAATAACTATTGAAGGTATAACATAAACAGATAGCAACCTATGTAAAGATATGTTGACATGGCATACGAAGTGACAATTAATGCCCTTTTGACAACTGTTTGACCAGTTCATGAGGAGTTGAAAGTATCTTGATTTTTACTGAACTTCAATTATTTGACCAATTAACTTTTTCCTTAAAATTGGCAATTATAAATGAAACTTTTTTTGACCAATTACATTCTAACTCAGTGTCACATAGTACAATGTGAACAGCATTTCTCTTTGTTAATGTTCCTTCATAATGATTCATATAATAGAGTGAACCTAGCTTAAGTATTGAAAGAAAGGTTACTGCTTAACTTTGAAGAGTTAGATGCATATGATGAACAATATACAGTGGGTGATCGGTTAACAAACATAATCCATTCTAAGACTTTTTGTTCGTTAACCGATTATCGATTTATTATAGGTTTTTATGGGAATTTGATTAATTCATTCCGGAGACTCCAAAAAATAAAAAATATATACTTTTTTACTATGTTTATTTATATGTAATAGTAAAAATACACATATATGCAGTCTTGCATTTTTATTAGTCATGTTTTTTCTATTTGTGGTGGTTAAAAAATCTGTCCAATGTCAATTGCTTTTCTCTTTCAGGATTTTTCGTAATTAATAGTATTATAATTGTAGAGATCCCCAACCCCATTAACCTGATTGTTTGGATGCCACTTGGATGATCATTGTTCTGACATCCTCCCACTTCTTCAAAAGATCTTTAGTAGCAGATGTCGACATTGGTCCTCTTTCGTCTTCCTCTTTTTCGAAAGAAAACACATCTCGCTGAGTTTCTTGGAGTTCTTCTGTCATCAGATCAGTTTCAGGTTCCATTATGAGCTCTAAAATGCTCTTTATTTCTCAGATGTGATTTTATTACTCCATTAGCAGCTTGAGACTTCTTGATATATCTTTCATAGCTAAGATTGTGCCTACTGTAAACATACTGCCTAGCAACATCAGACATCTTGTGCCCATTTTCTATTTTGGCTATTATCTCTTACTTGGTTTTTACAGTGAGCACAGTTCTTGACACTCCTCTTTTTAGGCTCCATATTATCAGTTTCATTTTTAAATAAAAAGTTCAGAAAAGTACTTCAAAAATTCAGAGAACAGAAATCAACTAGCCCACAAAAAGTTATTTAAATGCAAGGCCCAGATGAAATTTGAAATTTGGTATCAAAACGTTAATGAATATCCAATGGGACAGTTAAACTTTTACCTTTCGTAAATAAACCCAGATGCAAAACTTAACAAGTGCCTGTCCGACAGTCTCATGAAGACTATAAAAAAATTATTTGTCAGAAAGGTAAACAAAAAGCTGAAATTACAAGGGAGAGTTTCAAAATTTGCTGGAATACTATTTGATTGGTATCAGGTTGAGCATCGATGTTGACGTCTCCCGCCCTCCGAAAGGTTTCGAATTGTTACCTGAAGACAAGGGAAAATCAATCAGTATTCGTTATTTTTCATCACTTCTTTTTATGTTTGTTCAGTAAAGTGTTCATTATCTGAACATGTGTTCATTGTCCAATCATAAAAATCTTTTGAGAAAGTGTTCATTATCCAATTTGTTCACTATCCGAACTGTTCGTTAACCGATCACCCACTGTATTGATAATCATCAGATGTTATCTAACTAATATTTAAATTAATTACATTTTAAACAATTAAAATTCATAAAACAAAACAAATAATATACTCTTCTCAAACTGTACTTACTAAAAAATAACTACCCTTTACTAACCTTTAACATGCATTCTATTTTATTAACGTGATTTAACGTTTTTGATCAAATAATAATATGTTTAATTAAACAATAACATTTTTATTCAAGAGCTGAACTAGGTAGAGATTACCCTGTAACTTACTAAAGGTGTTTAGGGAATTTACTAGCCTAAGGGAGATCACAACTTTACATATAAGATGTAGGGAGATTTTTTTATCCTTTTTTTAAAGTCAAGTTTTATATGCCACAAAATACAATAATTATGTACAAACTTTCAAATCAAATTACATTGCATGAAGCTGATAAATTATATATATACAGTATAAAATATCAATACAGAGTGATCAAATAATAAAGATGTATATAATGTATATACTAAAGATCATAAATTAATGATAAAAATGTCTATACTATCATGTTTAAGATTTTTACACCTTAAACATTTATTTATCACAGACATGATATACAGTAGTATAATAAAAAATACAATTAGCTTGTGGTGTCACCAAGTCTACTCCTGAAAAGTAAACTTAATCTACCCTTTTTACATTCTTTATTTTTATATAAAATTGATAGTTATATTACTATTTTATAAAGTTATTTAGTCAATTTGTATAGGATAATTAAAGAAAATTAATTGTTTAAATTAATTTTTAAAATTTTTATTTATTTTAGTGCTGGACAACAATTTTGTGCAATTAACTTCACCTCCTTAAGAACAGGAGATTCTGTTCATTGTTTAAAATTTAAAATTCCAGTTGTTGACATGTTTTATAATAGAAGGTAAGATTGTAAACAAAGTCTAAATTTATCAGGTCTTTTATTTTGTTTTTCATGCATTTTTTTGTTTTTGTTTTTAGAGTAATAGTCATTACATTCCATGAAAAGATTTCTGTATTTGATGCCATAAATTTTAAATTCATGTTCACTGTTGCAGGTAAAAATGAACTTTTACAAAATCAGAATAGAATTGCTTTATTCTATTTATATATTTTGATTGTCATTATTTTAGGTTGTTACCCATGTCCTGGAGTACAAGTTAATCCAATTGCTTTAGGTTCAGCTTGGCTAGCGTTTGCGGATAGAAAAGTTAATATAATTTGTTAATAATAATAATAATAATAATTTAGTCATCAATTGTTGTTTGTTTATTAATATTTTTTATTTTTTCTAGTTAATTTCTGTACATCAGACTTGTGGTGGAATGGCTGGAAATGGGGTACAGTCTTATGCTGCTACAGTACTTCATGCTGCCAAGGTATTTAATTTAATACATAAAGAAAGATTCTGGTGTTGGGATGATTAAAATAATTAATTCTTTTCAGACAATTACGAAAGGTCTGACTATTTTTGGGGAGACTGTAGCGAGCAGTTTGACTGGTCATAAAAGTCAGCCTTCGGCCAGCAAAAAGGATCAAAAGGACACGGAACATTTGCAACCCGGAATTGTAACTATTTTAGACATAAAATCTATAACTCGAAAGGAGGTAAGTATAGAATAATGTCTAGATAAAGTACAGATTTGTATAATTTGATTTTTTTTAAACATTATAATTATGAGAAACTTAATTTATTTTAGGTGAATATAGATGAAGATTCAGATGGTGAAGGCATTGTTGCTCATTTTCCAGCTCATGCTAATGAACCAATTTCTGCTCTCTCATTTGATCCAAGTGGAAGATTATTGTTCACTGCCTGTCGACTAGGACATAATTTTCACATATATTGTATATTTCCTCATCCTGCCAGTTCTACCTTGGGTGCTGTACATCATCTCTATACTTTGCATCGAGGAGACACCACTGCTAAGGTAAACTGTAGAGTGGATTGGCAGTCTAAGAACATGAAGAAAGCAAATCTCATGTAAAAATATTGAAAGTCATATGTTAAAATTAAAAAATAGAGATATCTATTTTTTAATTTTAACATACGACTTTCAATTATTTTCCAAAGATTCAACATTGCAACAAAAAAATGCCCAGGAAATAAAAAGTTATGGAAAGAGTAATAAATTTAAGTTAATTGTTAAGTTAATTGGTAAAAGATGATAGGCTTTTTGAGATCATTGGTTCAAAAACACATATTACCTTGTTACAGATGTTTGGAAGAGAGACACAAGTGGAAAACTAATTGTTACTTATGATCAATGTGCAGTTTAACAAATAACATATTAGTTCTCTGAGAAAAGGTGCAAAAAAGGAAGACTAGTATTGCCACACAGTATTAAAAAAATTGACATTAGTGTCAAAATAACTTCCAAACTTAAACTGTTTAACATACCATGAGTTCAGAAACTAACAAACCAGACAATGGAAATTTCTTAGAGATAATTTTATTACTTTCCAAATACAATCCAGTATATTGAAGTTAAGATCATTCACAAAAATATACAATATTTTTGAGTCCTTTCTATATTCTTTAACACAACCACAGAAGTAACAGTAAAATTGGCTTGAAGGAAAACTTCATTAAAAAGACATATAATAATAGATAAAAATTCACAAAGTTAAAAATGATATCAAGCGTCAGCCTTTTATTGGAGGATCTGACATTTTACACTAAAAAGAAAGATACATTTTCTCACCCACTATCAAGTCCTTAGCCTTTTATAGCTGGTTCTAACCTTCTAAAAAAAAAGAAAAAAATACAATCCAGTACTGTACTTAAAATAAATTTATCAAATGTGACAAAATCCACTCAAAGCTGAAAATAAAAATTAGATACTTATAAGATCACCTATCTATCTTTTTATAACATTATTTTTAAAGACCGCCATTAGTTACGTAATTTTTGAAATTAAAAATTTAATTAGAAACAGAATAGTAAGGGGAATTAGAGGCCATTTTACATTTACTGCAGATTAACACTACAACTGATATTACACAAAATGACAAAAGTTCAGTTATTGTCCAATATGTTTTAAGTAATGATGTTTATGAAAGAGCTATTGGAGTATTGGACTAAAAATTCAATTATGTAAGAAATATGTAACATGATAACTGAATTTTTGGAAAGTTTTGGTCTAGATGTAAAGAATTGTATTGGAAGTTCTACAGATGATGGAGCAAATATGCAAATGCCTTACAGCCATTTTTCAAAATAGTTGACTGAAAAAGGACAAAAAAATCAAGTACAGGTGTGGTGTCATGCTCACACATGTACTTGAATTAATGCCAAAATCTTGACATTATGAATCAGAAAATTCCATTCTGGATTGTTCAAACCTTTTTAGTTTAATTAATATTGGTTCAGTATTTAAAAAAAAAAATCTTACCAGTGTATTTATCATATCATATGTTATGAGAAATTAGTTGAATGGACAAGATTTCAAAGTCATTGGTGAAATGAGATAGACTTCTAAAGAAATAGTTAAAAAAAAAAAAAAATTTGGAAGTTTCCATGAAAAGAAAAATGCATTAAATGTTGACTTGTTACTTGTGTTACATTCAATTACAAAAATAAATCGTTTAATGTGCAGATTCATCAAAATGCATTGAACATTAAGAACTTTTTATTGAAATTTAAAATAAACTTAACTGCACATATTTAAGAATTTTTGAATTTACTGGTCTTTTATTGCAATATTTGCAGACCAGAAATTTGAATTATTTAACAGCTTATGAAATGGCTGCCAATATATAAAAAAATCATGAAGCATCTCGAGATTTTAATTCAATTAAAGGAAAGGCAACCATTTTTTATTGAAAATGCAAATAAAATATTAGTAGAAGAAAATTGGGAATTAGTTGTAGAAGAATTACTGGAACAAAGGACAAGAAAGAGGAGAGGAATGCCTCACTAAACTTGTGAGGATTATGTTAACCAAAGTAGTTTAGAAAGTTTTAAAATAAATGTTTTTAATAACACCATGATACAACCATAATTGCAATTGAAAAAAAATATGAAGGACATGAAATATTATTTGAAAATTTAACTGTTTTAGACTTGGCATACAAATGAATTAAAAATTTTCCAGCAAATTGTTTAGATACTTAAGTTTGCTGATTTTGCAATATTGTAATACAGTAGTCTCGAAAACTCGGCACTCGATAGCCTGGCAGTCCAGATAACTCGGCCACACCCTGGCAGGACAAAAAAATCCTTAGTTAATTAATTTTCATTATAGACAGCTTTATGCCTCATAAAGTATTTTTCTGAGGTTTGTCTTATCTGGTAAATTACTGTACACAATGCATTCATTAATTTTCATTTTCATGTAGTAAAGGCTCTATGCCTTCAAAAAGGATGTACTTTTCCTTTCTTTAAGGATATTTGGGCAGTTTATTCTCTGTTGTATTCTCAAGTAAACAATACATACAAGTACAGTACAGTATTTTCTGAGGAAACACTCAGAACTTTCTGGGGTTATTTTTTTAAACCCCATTCTTGATAACCCGGCATTTTCACAAACTTGGCCACCCTTCGGTCCACATTAGGCCGAGTTTTCGAGACTCTACTGTACTGCTAATTTATGGGACAAATTAAGAGATTTAATTTGTAAATGGGACAGCTTGAAAATAACTATTAAGGAACAGAAAGGTACAATAGCTACAATCCATGAGAGAAGAGAATCCGACTTATAAAACTGCAAAAATTGCATTTGTTGCTGTTTTAAAGTTTTGTCAAATTATGATTTATATTCTAAAATATATACCAATTTGGATATGGCTTATAAATTTAGTTTAATTTTATCATCACACAGGTAGTGTGTGAGCAACTCTTTCCAAAATTAAAAATTATTAAAGATAGGTTGAGATCTTCGTTATCTCAGGACAATTTAAAGGCACCAATAATTATGTCAATTGAAAAAATTTATTATCACAATTAAAAAAAGAAAATATTATATGTGAAATATGTAAACATATTCCTGGGATAAAAAATATTTAATGGGATATTTTATTAAAATATTCAAATATTTGTTTTATCAATATATTTATATGTTTATTACTCTAATTCCTTAGCTATAAATTAACTCCATCTCCTCCAAAAAACTGTTTACATATTTTTATATACTCATATTAATATACTTATGGTGGGCCAGTTTATTTCAGTTTGCCAGAGCTGGTAAAATCTTTCAGTCTGCCATTGAATACACATATATAATTTATTATTATTAGTTAAGTGCTTTCTGTATAGATTTAGTTTAAAATGATAAGTGTTAATCATACTGTATTATTTATTATTTCATGTTGAATACCTTTATCAGCTTTTTTGTAATAATACCATGAATCAATAACTACATGCCAATTTACATTTATTTTAAATAAACAATTATATATATATATATATATATATGTTACTGTGAATGACC